CTTCTTTAGACTCTCATCTTGGAGGTAGAGAGGGGGCGGCGAGCGCAAAGGAATGCAGCCACCTTTAACAAGGTGGTAAAGAAATATCGGCGGTGCCGCGTCAAGCATCAGGCGCTGGCGGACCTACTCAAGCAGGACCCAGAATTTTGGGTTTTCCGTGAGGGTTTGGAGCAGTCAGAGGCCCAGCTGAAACGGAGGGTGGCCGAGCTGGAGCAGATCGACGAGCAGCTAATGACCGCTCTGGCTCGGAACATTGAGCTGGAGACTCTTCTCCAGTCTAAGGAAGAAGAGTTGGAGGTTGGTCGTGGGGTAGCGGCGGAAGCTGCTGATTTGCGGATCAAGGTTGCCGCTTTGACCACCGAACTCGATGCCAAGGCGGCTGAGATTGAAGTCCTTAAGCGGACTGCTGCACCAAGGCCTGATGAGGATGCACATCGTGAGGCGCATGATATGTGGGTGTACGCCGAGGCCAGATTGGTCGTATTCGAGGAGTTCTTAGCTGCGGGTCGAGCTACTGAGGCGGAGGTTCAGGAGCAACGGCGCATAGCCCGTGTCGCCCGTGAAACTTGTGGGTATAGTTCTGATTCCCCAGATCGGGCTGTCTATAACTCCGAAGACGTCAATCGTCTAGAATCCGACTCTTGGATCTCTGTGGCCTATCAGGCCGAGGACGACGGTGGACGAGATGGCGGTCCGACGGGGGGCGCTGAACAGAATGGCGAAGCCCCTTAGGACTTGTATTCATTTTGTTTTGCTGTATTTGGAGACGTAAATGGGTCCTTTTGTACATGTATTTTTGGATGATAATGGAAGTTATACTTTTGTTGTTATTCTTTTCTTTTTGTACCTTTTATTTTCGGCCTTAATATTGTTGATGGCCTCAGTCGTGTGCGTAACCTCGACTATCGTCGAGTTACTTGTCGTCATAGTCGAGCTAGGTCGACTTATCGGCGTCGATGGCCTTAGCCATAATATCGTTGATGGCCTTAGCCATATCGTAACTTCGACTGTTGTCGAGTTACTTGTCGTCGTAGTCGAGCTGTGTCGACTTATCGACGTCGATGGCCTTAGCCATAATATCGTTGATGGCCTTAGCCATGTACGTAACTTCGACTGTTGTCGAGTTACTTGCCGTTGTAGTTGAGCTGGGTCGACTTATCGGCGTCGATGGCCTTAGCCATAATATCGTTGATGGCCTTAGCCATGTACGTAACTTCGATTGTTGTCGAGTTACTTGCCGTTGTAGTCGAGCTGGGTTGACTTATCGGCGTCGATGGCCTTAGCCATAATGTTGTTGCAGATGGTCGTAGCCTTTTACACGTTGAGATGGCCGTAGCCATTTATACATTGGAGATGGCCATAGTCGTTCATACATTGGAGATGGTCGTGGCCGTTCATACATTGGAGATGGTCGTAGCCTTTCATACATTGGAGATCACGCTAGTCCAGTCCCTTTGTCATGCCAGTCGGGAGGACGTATGGAGTGGCTGGTATGATAAACTTGTTTCTCAAGTATCTCCAGGTGTCCCTTCTGTCGCCTGGTTAAAAACCTCCCCGAGAAAACCCAATTGGGACAAAACCCGAGTAAGGGAAAAAGAGTGCGACTCGGGAGATGCCTTTCAGAAATGGAAATACTTGAGGTGGGCGACGTTCCAATTGTTTTGGAGCGTTTTTCCTTCCATCGTTTCTAATCGAAATGCTCCTTTACTTGCTGCCGCTGTGATTTTGTAGGGTCCGTCCCAGTTGGTGCCCAGTTTTCCTTCGCTTGGGTCTTTTGATGCCAATGTTTTGGCTTTGAGGGCGTAGTCCCCCACTTTGAGTGGTCTTATTTTGGCTCTCTTGTTGTAGTATCTTTCGACTTGTTGTTTCTGAGCCACCGTTCTTATGTGGGCCATTTCTCTTCTTTCCTCGGCCTCATCGAGGTCTTGAAGTCTGTTTATGTCGTTCTCTGCGCCGCTGGCATGTGAATACCTTAAGCTTGGTT